ATCAACTTTCTAGATTCTGAAAAACAATCATTTTTTCCAACTCTCTGAGGTATCATCTCTCAATATTTTTTTCCATGTTGCTAATTGTTTCTTTTAGTTTTAACTTTATCTACTGACTTCTTGTACAGAAGATCATCATTCAGTTCTCATTCCTGCCTGCTTCCCTTCCTGTTTTCTACATTTAGTGATATTGTAATCTTAGATTCGTTATTCAATGTTTATATTATTATAATTATGAAAACTTTTAAGTTGAGCCTATGTAGTAGTATTCAGTGACTTTTTTTCTTTCTTGTACATTCTATTTTGCTTGGATTTAATAATTATCTGGTTTGTTTGCTTAGTTTCTGTGAACTTATCAGGAATTCAACTTTGCTCCAAACAAATTACATAAATCTCTCTATGTTTTTTGTTTCCTCCTTCTCCTCTTCCGCTTCCTCCTCCTTCCTCTTCTTTTTAAGACAGAGTTTCATTCTGTCCCTCAACTGTAGTGCAGTGGCACAATCATGACTCACTGCAATCTTGACCTCCTGTGCTCAAGTGATCCTCCTGCTTTGGCCTCCCAAAGTGCTGGAATTACAGATGTGATCCACTGCATTTGGTGTATTTTCATCTTCTTAAAGAAATCACTCCTGGAGGCTTTGACCAGTCCCACTGGGACAGATTTCCCTTTAAGTGCTTTGCTGTACAGGTGTCATCTTAGTATTTCCTCTCATCACTATCCCGGAAATCCCTCTGTTGTTTTCTTGTGTTGAGTACTCTGCTTCTAGAATCCCATGTCTTTCTTTTTCTCATTTTGGTCCTTATTTTGGTAGAGTAAATATTTCATTAGTCTTCTGAGAAAGTTCATGGGAGATAAATATTTTGAGGCCTAGCAGATCTGAAATTGTCTTTGTCATAGTCTTTCCTTTGGATGATAATTTGTTGGGTATAAAATTTTAAGTTAGAAATGATTTTTCCCTTGGAATTTTGTCAAGTATTACAGCGTTATTTCCTAATTTTCAGTGTTTCTGTGGAAAAATGATGTCACATTAAAAAAATTTTATTTTAGGTTCAGGGGTACATGTGCAGGTTTGTTATATGGGCAAACTTGTGCTATGGGGATTTGTTGTACAGATTATTTCATCACTCAGATACTAAGCCTAGTACCCAATAGTTATTTTTCTGCTCCTCTCCCTACCCTAACCCTTTACCCTTAAGTAGTCCCTAGTGTCTTTTATTTTTTTCTTTGTGTCCGTGAGTTGTCATTTAGTTTCCATTTATAAGTGAGAACACATGGCATTTGGTTTTCTGTTCCTGGGTTAGTTAGCTAAGGATAATGGCCTGTAGCTCCATCCATGTTCCCACAAAAGATATGATCTCATTCTTTTTTATGGCTGCATGGTAGTCTATGCTATTTATGTACCACATTTTCCTTTTCTAGTCTGTCATTGATGGGCAGTTAGGTTGATTCCATGTCCTTGCTATTGTGGATAGTGCTGCAGTAGACATTTGTATACATATATCTTTATGGTAGAATGATTTATATTCCCTCTGGGGGTATACCTAGTAATCAGGTTGCTGGGTTGATTAGTAGTTCTGTTTTAAGCTCTTTGAGGAATCACTATGTTGCTTTCCAGAATGGGTGAACTCATTTATATTCCTATCAACAGTGTATAGGAGTCCCCTTTTTTCCTGCAACCTTGCCCCCATCTATTATTTTTTTGACTTCTTAATAGTAACCATTCTGACTGGTGTGAGTTGGTATCTCATTGCGGCTTTGATTTGCATTTCTCTAATGATCACTGATATTGAGCTTTGCTTCATATGCTTGTTGGCTGCATGTATGTCTTCTTTTGAAAAGTGCCTCTTTATGTCCTTTGCCTACTTTATAATTTTTTTTTCTTGTAATTTTGTTTAAGTTGCTTTTAGATGCAGTTTATTAGACCTTTGTCACATGTATAGTTTGCAAATATTTCTTTCCCATTCTTTAGGTTGACGTTTTACACTGTTGATAGTTTCTTCTGCCATGAAGCTCTTAAGTTTAATTAGATCTCATTTGTCAATTTTTGCTTTTGTTGTGATTGCTTCTGGTATCTTTGTCATGACATCTTTGCCCATTCCTGTGTCCAGGATGGTATTGCCTAGGTTGTCTTTCAGGGATTTTTATAGTTAAACATATTTCTTAATCTTTTGTATAAAACTTATTTATTTCTCTCTGGACTTTGGGGGAACTACTTTTTGTTCCCTGTTTTCTGAAATTTCCGTGCATTTAACCTGGACTCTTAATAGGCCCTTTCTGTTTGAAACGTATATCCTTCAGAATCTGCATTATTTCCATGGGTTTTTTTCTTGAACAGTTTCCTCCCCTTCAGAGAGACATTATAGTGCAGTGGTTAAGAGGACATAGCATGGAGCCAGGCTTTCAGGGTTTGAATTTCAGCTTTGCCCCTCATTAGCCCTGCGAACATGGGTAACGGGGGTCATAATGGTACCAATCTCATGGGATTATTCTGAAGAATAAATAAGTTTATATTATGTAAAATGCTTAGAACAATGCTTACAAAATAATAAGACTGTTTAATGTTTTAAATTTATATTTTCTCATTCTGCTTCTTTATTTAGATTTGAACTTCTTGGATGGTCTTTTAATTTAAAATTTTTTCTGTTTTTCATCTCCGTCTCTTTTTCGTTTATTTTCTGGGAGATTTTTTCTTTTAAATTTATTTATTTAGTTTTTCATTTTTATTTTTACTTTTTTTTTTTTTTTTGAGACGGAGTTTTGCTCTTGTTATGCAGGCTGGAGTGCAATGGTGCAATCTAGGCTCACCACAACCTCCGCCTTCCAGGTTCAGACAATTCTCCTGCCTCAGCCTCCTGAGTAGCTCGGATTACAGGCATCCACCACCATGCCTGGCTAATTTTTATATTTTTTAGTAGAGATGGGGTTTCACCATGTTGGCCAGGCTGATCCTGAACTCCTGACCTCAGGTGATCCACCTACCTCAGCCTCCCAAAGTGCTGGGATTACAGGCATGAGCCACCGCGCCTGGCCTGTGTTTTTGATTTTTAAGAGCTGTTTTTTTTTTTGTCAGAATATTTTATTTCTCATTGCAGTCATGAATGTGATATTATGGATCTTATACTCTCTCCTGTTTTTTTTAGAAGACAATGTTAGTTTCTTTTTTTCTCCCTCTTCTAGTTGTCATCTTTCTGCATAATCTTTCAGGGAATGGTTCTTTGCATACAACTTATTTTTGGCCTCTGTTTACCATATTAGATGCTTCCTAAACTTTTGGTGACCCTTGTCTGTCTGCTTATATTGAAAAGTAGGGGCTTAACCTAAAATCTAAGATGACTGGAAGCTCAGTGTGTGAGGCTGTGGTTTTTTTTTTGAGATGGCGTTTCACTCTTGTTACCCAGGCTGGAGTGCAATGGCGCGATCTCGGCTCACCGCAACCTCTGCCTTCCAGGTTCAGACAGTTCTCCTGCCTCAGCCTCCTGAGTAGCTGGGATTACAGGCATGCGCCACCATGCCCAGCTAATTTTTTGTATTTGTTTTTTTTAGTAGAGACAGGGTTTCACCATGTTGACCAGGATGGTCTCGATCTGTTGACCTCGTGATCCACCTGCCTTGGCCTACCGAAGTGCTGGGATTACAGGCTTGAGCCACTGCGCCTGGCCAAGGAGGCTGTGTTTTTGTGGCATGCTCTGTAGGATTACATGGTTAAGCTGTTTTGCCTAGAACCACTGGCATTAGTATCTTTAGGTATTTTTCACCTGGCTGCTTAGGTTGTATAGGGAAGGCACTTCCAGGCACTGCTTGGCTGCCATTGTTCTGGCAAGAACATTCTGGGAAGACAAGTAGTGTTAAAACTCTAGAGCTTTCATTCATTATATAACTTTTAACTCACGCTGCTTGTGTGTAGAATGTAAAACCTACATCATTTATATCTAATATCTACTGATTGAGAGACCCTATGTTTCATCCTCTCCAGGGAATAAACCCCTAGTGTTTTTCTGCCAGACTGGGGAAGAGATAGGTACCCAGTTGTGTGGTATACAGGATAGGGGATCTGAGGATCTAATTATTTTGTTGGCAGACTTTCAACTAATTCTCCTGTTTTCTGCTCTACGTTTACCCCCATTTTCAAAGGTGTTGATAATTACTGAGCTTTTGGGAGTTATCAGCCACCAATTGTCCACATTCATTTCTGCTTCCAATATTTTATTGCTATTATCTCATCTTTTGTGTTCTTTTTCTTGTGAGTTTGTACCTCTAAATTCTGTTTGCTGTTTATTTTATTTTTTATTTTTATTTTTGAGACGGAGTTATGCTGTTGTTACCCAGGCTGGAGTGCAATGGTGCGATCTTGGCTCACCGCAACCTCCGCCTTCTGGGTTCAAGCAATTCTCCTGCCTCAGCCTCCTGAGTAGCTGGGACTACAGGCGTGCGCCACCATGCCCAGCTAATTTTTATATTTTTAGTAGAGACAGGGTTTCACCTTGTTGACCAGGATGGTCTCGATTTCTTGACCTCATGATCCACCTGCCTCGGTCTCCTAAAGTGCTGGGATTATAGGCGTGAGCCACTGCACCCAGCCTGCTGTTTATTTTTATTTTTGGGAGAGAGTAGTGTGCTTTAGTCTGACTTTTTTTTTTTGGTATGTATTACATTTGCAGTAAATAAAATGAATTATTTAAAAAGAAAAAGAATGGGAGAGCCCGGTCTCTTCCAAAATTACCCAGCTTGTGATATGATTAGAAGTACCAATCTTGAATAATGTGGTAATTTTCCATTAGGCAGTGGTTTGTTGCCAGATATATATCTATATGTGTATTACTTTGTATTTCTTCATAGCTTTTGTAGGGGGCATCTTTTACTAGGTTGTGAAATTCTCTAAGTCAAGAACCATGTCATGTTCTCTCTGTTTTTTGAAAACTAAGTTATCAGAAATATCAGAAATTCTCTGAAATATGCTTTGTGACAAATACATACATTTTACTATAATCTCATTTTATAGGTTGAAGAATGCCTCATCGGATGTAAAACAAATACTTAAAATTGAAACAGAGTTGGATATTACTGCTGATCTCAGAAAGAAACTCAATCGGGCTAAAAAGGAAAAATTAGAAATAACAACAAAGCACAATGCAGAGGTACAATTTATTTTCCTCTCAAATGTTAAAAGCTGAGTTTGATTTTTTAGATTTGTTTCATATGACAAACTCCATGTATAACCTTTAGAACTATACCATTCTTGTGCTTAAAAAGGAAATTGTAATATAGAAAACATGATTTTTAAATGTAGTATAATTGCATCAGAGTGTTAAAGTGGAACTTTAATGAATTATTATGTTTTTTTATGTTATCTTAGATTTATTTTAGTTAATGGGATCAACTGATTAAAAATATTAATTCATGAACATGTTTGATGATAGAAGATTTGTAAATTAGACATTTTTGAAATCATAATATAGGTTCCTTTAATATCTCAATTACGGAACAATCTCTGAAGTAAATTTGAGTATGGAATTTTTAATCATAGTTAAATTCATAAATCAGCTTAGTTTATAAGTCATTTCTTTGTTAGTATGTATGTGCATATACATATATATATTTTATATGTATAAGAATATATTCTAAGATAGCAGTTTTCCTTCCCTTCTAAGATAATTCATAAGTCATATCTTTAGATCTCTCTCTCTATTGTGTTCTTTCTCCTTTTTTCTCTGTTAAATCTTATTTATTCTTAAAACTCAGTTTAGGCCACCTGGTGTAGTGGGAAGAATATTAAATTACACAGAACTCAGTTCATTTCTTGCCTTTCCATTTACAAGATGCGTCATCTTGGACTACTTATTTATCCTGTACACCATTGGTTTCTCATTGTGAAATGCTGGTCCCAAAGGGTTGTTGTGACAATTAAGTGAAATAAAATTTGGAAAGTACTTGTGTACTGTAAGAGTAGTTGTAATTTATTGACAGTTAAGTGTAAACAATATGTTTTTCTTCCCTTTTTGCTAAGTTCTGCAGTTCTCATGTTGGGAAACCTTGTAATGTGTTTTTAAGTGAAACCAGCTACTACTTTACTCTTCTACAACATGTTGCTGTTTCAGATATTTTACAGCTAAAACATTTATATCATGCTTACCTGCTCTTCTTTAGTTTGTAAACCCTCTGAGAGCTCAAAACTGTGACCATACTTTGTCTCTATATTGCTGATGTTTACTGGCACATGGTAGGCTCTCAGTGATTGTGTGTTGAATAAATGTATCAAAAGGGTCAGGTGCGGTGGCTCATGCCAATAATTCCAGCATTTTGGGAGGCCAAGGTGGGTGGATCACTTGAAGTCAGGAGTTCGAGACCAGCCTGGCCAACATGGTGAAACCCCATCTCTACTAAAAATACAAAAATTAGCTAGGCATTGTGGCACACACCAGCTACTTGGGAGGCTGAGGCAGGAGAATCACTTGAATCGGAAGCCGGAGGTTTCAGTGAGCTTAGATTGTACTACTGCATTCTAGCCTGGGCAACAGAGGAAACTCCATTTCAAAAAAGAAGAAAAGAATGAAAGGATGATTTTTTTCTCAGGGTATATAAGGAGCAGTGGTATTGCTGATTAAAATAACAAGAGACGAATACATGATCATTCTTTTTGTATTTTTTAGTAGCAATTGTGGTAATTTTTTTCTTTTTCTTTTTTGAGACCAAGTCTCACTCTGTCGCCTAGGCTGGAGTGGAGTGGTGTAATCTCAGGTCACTGCACCCTCTGCTTCCAGGTTCAAGTGATTGGAAAATGACTTGCCTCAGCCTCCCCACTAGATGGGATTACAGGCACTCGCCACCATGCCTGGCTAATTTTGTATTTTTAGTAGAGATAGCGTTTCATCATGTTGGCCAGGATGGTCTTGAACTCCTGACCTCAGGTGATCTACCCACCTCAGCCTCCCAAAGTACTGGGATTTTAGGTGTGAGCCACCATGCCTGGCCCAACTGAGGTAATTTTTAAGTGATAATTGAAGTAATTGTTTCTATTTACATTGTAATAATCATTATAAAGTGATATGTGTTAAATGTATGCTGAATTTATTCATAAATTCTAAAACTTATTTTTTGAAACCAAATGTACATTTTACTTGAGAGTATTAGTGTCATGATAATCACTCCTCTATTAAGTAAATTCTTTCACAGCCGGGTGTGGTGGCTCATGCCTGTAATCCCAGCACTTTGGGAAGCCAGGGCAGGAGGATTGCTTGAGCCCAGGAGTTCGAGACCAGCCTGGGCAACAGAGTGAGACCTTGCATCTATAAAAATAAAATAAAAATAATATTCTTGCCTAGTGCGGTGGCTCAAGCCTGTAATCCCAGCACTTTGGGAGGCCGAGGAGGGTGGATCACGAGGTCAACAGATCAAGACCATCCTGGTCAACATGGTGAAACCCCGTCTCTACTAAAAAAAATGCAAAAAATTAGCTGGGCATGGTGGCACGTGCCTGTAATCCCAGCTACTCGGGAGGCTGAGGCAGGACAATTGCCTGAACCCAGGAGGCGGAGGTTGCGGTGAGCCGAGATCGCGCCATTGCACTCCAGCCTGGGTAACAAGAGCGAAACTCCGTCTCCAAAAAAAAAAAAAAAAAAAGATTTCACAATATGTTTATTGTTGTTATTAGGCTTCTCAGCAGAACACACAGTTCTCTTTTATTTGATCAAAATGTTTTGAAATATATGTTCACATTAAAGAGGTAGCAAATTATCTTAGGGAAGGCAGTTTTCTTAAATAGGATTATTAGTTCAACTCCAGATTTATATTACTAATTATTATTATGTTTTTCAACCTTCCCTCCCCTTCCCCTCCCCCTTCAAGTATACCCATCACGAAGCAAAACAGAGAGGAATACAGTAATCTAGAAACTAAGGCCATATTTCCCTTATCAGATATTCCTAATGCTAACACAAATAATGCAGGGTGATTGGCACAAAATATTTTAAAATACTTCTCTAGGAGTTTTATTGTTGTAAGATCTTGGGCAAGTTACTTCATTTTTCTGAGCTGGAAGTTTCTTTGATAGGTATTCAAATAATAGATTACTGTTGAGAAGATTTATTAGTAGATAGAGGGGATGGGGAGAATTGCTTATAGACTCATAGGTTCAGATGAGACTAAGTTGCATTGACATAGATTATTGGGATGGGAAAATGTCATAAGGTTTTTATTATTGCAGTGGTTTTTAGACTCATTTGAGCATAACAATAAGGTTGTGGAAAGTAGGACAAGAAGAATGTGAAGCTATTGAGATATCTGGCCTAGATAGTGGTGACAGAGCAAGAAAATCCAGATAAATGAGGAAGGGAGAGGGTAAAGAGGAGTGACATAACTTCTTTTTTTTTTTTTTTTTTTTTGAGATAGGGTCTTGCTTTGTCACCCACGTTGGAGTGCAATGGCATGATCTTGGCTCACTGCAGCCTCAACCTCCTGGACTCAAGTGATCTCCTGCTTCAGCCTCCCAAGTAGCTGGGAATACAGTCACATGCCACCATGCTCAGCTAATTTTTTGTATCTTTAGTAGAGGCGTGGTTTTGCCATGTTGCCCAGGCTGGTCTTGAACTTTTGGGTTCAAGTGATCCACCTGCCTTGGCCTCCCAAAGTGCAGGGACAATAGGTGTGAGCCATTATGTACTCGGCTGACATAACTTCTTTTAGCCAAAAAATACTGGAAACTTAGGACTATCAGTAGGCTTTATGGCCTGAAGATAGTATCTCACCCAGCCAGTACTCTTAATAGCAGGGATTTTTAAGCAAGAGTCCTCAGAAAGATAAATCAAGGAGTCTGTGAGCTTGGATGGGGAAAAGTTATAATTTTATTTTTATTAACCTCTAACTGATAATTAAGCTTTTCCTTCAGTTCTGAAGGGCTTGACCTAGCCAGTCCTCCTTTTAACAAATCATATTCACAGTACTTTTGAGTATCGTCAACAGAAATCACAGATACATGTCACATTTTAGAAATTACAGCTACAGGACAGGTGCTGTGGCTCATGCCTGTAATCCCAGCATTTTGGGAGCCTGAGGCAGGTGGATCACTTGAGGTCAGGAGTTCGAGACCAGCCTGGCCAACAGCCTGCCTCTGCTAAAAATACAAAAATTAGCTAGGTGTGGTGGTATGCTCTTGTAATCCCATCTACTTGGGTGGCTGAGGTGGGAGAATCATTTGAACCTGGGAGGCGGAGGTTGCAGTGAGCCAAGATCGCGCCCCCCGAACTCCAGCCTGGGCAACAGAGCGAGACGCTGACTAAAAAAAAAAAAAAAAAAAAAAAAGTTATTATGGCTGCAAGTCACATATTATATTTCAGTTATTGCATGTGTGTATGTATATTTGTTGTTGTTTTAAATCTTTTTTTAGAGACAGGGTCTTGCTCTATTGCCCAGGCTAGTGTGCAGTGATGTGATCATAGCTCCTTACAGCCTGGAACTCCTGGGCTTAAGTGAGTTTATGCTTCAGCCTCCCAAGTAGCTAGGGCTATAGGTGTGTGCCATCACACCTGACTCATTTATTTTTATTATTATTTGTAGAGATGGAGTCTTGTTGTGTTTCGCAGGTTGTGTCAAACTCCTGGTCTCAAGCCACCTTCCCTCATCAGCCTCTCAAAGTGCTGGATTACAGGAGTGAGACTTTGCACCTGGATAGCATTTTAATTTTAAGTAATGTACTTTGTGCCGTTGAAGAGGATGTAGTCAAGAAAAGGGAGGCTTTGGTTTGCCTCTGTATTGTGTCAGGAAAGTACTGGTATTTTGACTTTATGAAATGATTATAGGCCAATGTTGAATTCAGTTTTCAGTCAACCATCCAAGCAAAACTGTTAGAGTTAACTTACAAAATCCACATCAATCTTGTACGTGTTCTCCACGTTCCTGTGAATACAAGATTAGCAAGATCTTTCAGTTCTTTTGCTTTATAAGCTATTTCCTCCTGGAGCAGACTGCATTTTTCCTTCTGTGGCATACTGAGATCTCAGTCAATCTGTGGTAACACAGCAATGTAGGTGGCTCTTGGAAATTCTCTTGCAAGGCAGCTGCTTCAGGTGTGGTCATTACTAAATCTTTTAGCAAGGAAATGATGGCTACCTCAGTCACGGGGGAGAGACTGCTTTTTTTTTTTTTGGTAAGGAATGTTCAGGGGGATTTGAGAGTTCATAGTTTTTAGGTTTGTTTAGTTCTAAAAATCCTCATCCTATGTTCTTCCTTCCTACTTAAAACCAGCTAACTTTGGGAGGCCGAGGTGGGTGGATCACAAGCTCAGGAGTTCAAGACCAGCCTGGCAACATGGTGAAACCCCATCTGTACTAAAAATACAAAAATTAGCTGGGCATGTTGGTGGATGCCTGTAGTCCTAGCTGCTTGGGAGGCTGAGGGAGGAGAATCACTTGAATCCGGGAGGTAGAGGTTGCAGTGAGCCGAGATTGTGCCACTGGACTCCAGCCTAGGCAACAGAGAGAGACTCCATCCCAAAAAAAAAAAAACCCAGCTGATACCATCTTAACAGTAGATACTTGGTGGAACTCTTCATTGAACTTGTAATTTTGCATTTCCAATAATTAGATTTTTAGGTTTATTTATAACCTTATCTGCCCTGGAGCTATAAGAAATAAGCAGTTCTTTAAAGTCACCATAAAAACTCTCTGTTTTTCTGTCTGTCTTGTACTGAGATTCTAAAGCTCTGAGATTATCATTTTGTTTTTGTAAATTCTCTAGTATAGTGAGATTTAGCTTTTCTACCCTGTAGCCTTATAGTAAAATGGTACTGCCATCATAGCTAAGTGCATTCATTACTTCAGTTTTTGAGGGCTTGTTTTCAACTGGCACTTCATCCTAAACAACTGCACACCATAATTTAAGGAACTGTGGTCCCACTGTATGCTAGATCACTAGAATCCCATTTTTATCAGGAAAGAGGCTTTCACTGTGTTCAGGCTTAAATATGTCAGCCACTCAGTATTATAAACCCCTCTTCAGACAATTTCTGATACCAAGAGCAATATTACTGGGTGTCCAGTTGGGAAAACAGAAACCACTCTAAGTGTTACAACAAAGGGACATTAGTAGCAGGTATTGGTTACACAGGTACTAGAAAATAGAAAAGCTGAAAAGACAACTAGAGGAGATTAAGGCAACCCACCAACATTAAGGACTGCTTCTATTCCCAAGGTTGATTAGAGCTAGAATTGGAAAAAGCAAGGCCCATGGAGAGAGGGACTGTCCATAAAAATTTGCAACCACAGGCAATACAGGAATAACTGCTTGAGGCAGATCTCGAGAGGCAGAAATATCTTGGCTTCTTCACTTCCCCTGCTGTCAGTCGCTCCACGCGTGCCTCCCATTGATCTAGCCTACTAAGAAGCCAATTGTCTCTGACCTATTATCTTCTGTCATGCTACTTCATGAATACAAATATAAAAAATTAGATATTTGATCACTGAAATCCATGTAAAATTGACACTTTTATTACTTTATGATTAGTGATGTTATAATCAAGAGAAATAATATAGACCATATTTATTAAACTGTATGTTGATGTAATTTGTTTATTGGTTTCATTTAGGGAATAAAAGGAGAGGAAAGAATGAATTTTTAAGTGCTTAGTATGTATCATGCATTTTTTTGTTTTTTAATATAAATATTCTCTTCTTTTTTTTTTTGTGAGGCAGTCTTGCTATCTTCTTCAGGATAGAGTGCAGTGGCGTGGTCTCTGCTCACTGTAACCTCCTGTTTCCCAGGCTCAAGTGATCTTTTCATCTCAGGCTTCCGAATAGCTAGGATTACAGGCACACACCACCATGCTTTGTTAATTTTTGTATTATTATTTTTTTGTATAGAGACAGGGTCTCAACATGTGGCTTAGGCTGGTCTTAAACTCCTGGGCTTAAGTGATCCGCCTGCCTTGGCCTCCCAAAGTGCTGGGATTACAGTTCGTGAGCCACTGGGTCTGGCCTTTTATTAAAAAAAACAAAAACAAAAAACAAAACAACAGTGTTTTCTTTTGTTATTTTTTCTTTTATTTTTATTTGTTTGTTTTTTAGACAGGGTCTCTTTCTGTCATCCAGGCTGGAGTGCAGTCGTGCAGTCTCTGCTCACTGTAGCCTCCACCTCCTGGGCTCAAGGGATCCTCTCACCTCAGCCCCCTGGGTAGTAGCTAGGACTACAGGTATGTACCACCGTGCCTGGCTAATTTTTTTTTTTTTTTGCTAGTGATGGGGTTTCACCATGTTGCCCAGGGTGGTCTCAAACTCCTGTCATCAAGCAGTCCTCCCACCTCGGCCTCCCAATGTGCTGGGATTACAGAAGTGAGCCACCATGCCTGGCGAAGGTGTGACTATTTCTGATTAAACATGTAATTTATTTTTATAAAAAGTTCTTATAAGACTTTTTTCTCTAGTGAATTCTCTAAAATAATAAATAAATAAAGAAATAAACTTAAAGAGTATCATTTTGTAAGGTAGTGTTTCCTTTCCAGTGATTCTGAATATATAAATTTATAAATTTTGCCTTGTATATATTATGGAAACAAGTGTCTCTAGGAAACTTACATGTTTGAGTGTATGATCTCATAATCTGTGGACACATGTTGATACCAGCAATCTGTTTTTAGCTGGCATGCTTTGAGAGCCAGATTGCCAAGCTACGGTCCGAGGTTGAAAAAGGAGAAGCGTTGCGACAAAGTCTGGAGTATGACCTAGCTGTTGCTAGAAAGGAAGCTGGTCTTGGAAGACGGGCTGCTGAAGAAAGATTAGCTGAGGCACATAGGATCCAAGAAAAACTCTACGGTAAGACTGTTTCTATTTCTTCCCATGTTTAGGTTGTAACCTGATTGAATATCACTGCTCGCTGTTGTGTGTACATCCCATACAGGGTCAGAGGTAGGGTTTTGATTCATTGACTGGCCTTCGACGCACAGACTTTGCTGGGAACATATAAAAAGTCTTCTGGCAATTTTGTGAACGTTTATCTACTTTAGATTAATTTTTTTATTCTGTGGAAAAAGAAATTGAAAAGTACTTTTTAGAAGCACTTCTTCCATTAATAATTAACAGAATCATAAAGAGATTTTTGTTTGTTTTAAATATATATTCTAGGCTCCCCATCACATGTGATCTGAATCTAGATCTCTAGCTTGAGAATCTATATGTTCAAGAAGCACTGCCTTTTTTGCTGATTTTGCCAGGTTGAAACCACTGGGTTAGAGTGTGGTGCCTGGAAAAGAAAAAGGCACTGGATTTAATCCTCAAAAGCTATCTGTTTTTTTTTTTAATTTTTTATTGGATTTTAGGTTTTGGGGTACATGAGCAGAGCATGCAAGACAGTTGCGTAGGTACACACATGGCAGTGTGCTTTGCTTTCCTTCTCCCCTTCATCCACACTTGGCATTTCTCCCCAGGCTATCCCTCCCCACCTCCCCCTCCCACTGGCCCTCCCCTTTTCCCCCCAATAGACCCCAGTGTTTAGTACTCCCCTTTCTGTGTCCATGTGTTCTCATTTTTCATCACCCGCCTATGAGTGAGAATATGTGGTGTTTCATTTTCTGTTCTTGTGTCAGTTTGCTGAGGATGATGTTCTCTAGATTCATCCATGTCCCTACAAATGACACAAACTCATCATTTCTGATTGCTGCATAATATTCCATGGTGTATATGTGCCACATTTTTCCAATCCAGTCTATCATCAATGGGCATTTGGGTTGATTCCAGGTCTTTGCTATTGTAAACAGTGCTGCAATGAACATTCGTGTACATGTGTCCTTATAGTAGAACGATTTATAGTCCTTTGGATATATACCCAGTAATGGGATTGCAGGGTCAAATGGAATTTCTATTTCTAGATCCTTGAGGAATCGCCACACTGTCTTCCACAATGGTTGAACTAATTTACACTCCCACCAACAGTGTAAAAGTGTTCCTTTTTCTCCACATCCTCTCCAGCATCTGTTGTCTCCAGATTTTTTAATGATCGCCATTCTAACTGGCGTGAGATGGTATCTCAATGTGGTTTTGATTTGCATCTCTCTGATGACCAGTGACGATGAGCATTTTTTCATATGATTGTTGGCCTCATATATGTCTTCTTTTGTAAAGTGTCTGTTCATATCCTTTGCCCACTTTTCAATGGGCTTGTTTGTTTTTTTCCTGTAAATCTGTTTGAGTTCTTTGTAAATTCTGGATATCAGCCCTTTGTGAGATGGGTAAACTGCAAAAATTTTTTCCCATTCTGTTGGTTGCCGATCCACTCTAGTGACTGTTTCTTTTGCCATGCAGAAGCTGTGGAGTTTCATTAGGTCCCATTTGTCTATTTTGGCTTTTGTTGCCAATGCTTTTGGTGTTTTGTTCATGAAGTCCTTGCCTACTCCTACGTCCTGGATAGTTTTGCCTAGATTTCCTTCTAGGGTTTTTATGGTGCCAGGTCTTATGTTTAAGTCTTTAATCCATCTGGAGTTAATTTTAGTGTAAGGTGTCAGGAAGGGGTCCAGTTTGTGTTTTCTGCACATGGCTAGCCAGTTTTCCCAACACCATTTGTTAAACAGGGAATCCTTTCCCCATTGCTTGTTTTTGTCAGGTTTATCAAAGATTGTATAGTTGTAGATATGTTGTGTTGCCTCCGGTGCCTCTGTTTTGTTCCATTGGTCTATATCTCTGTTTTGGTACCAGTACCATGCTGTTTTGATTACTGTAGCCTTGTAGTATAGTTTGAAATCCGGTAGTGTGATGCCCCCCACTGTGTTCTTTTTGCTTAGAATTGACTTGGCTATGTGGGCTCTCTTTTGGTTCCATATGAAGTTCATGGTGGTTTTTTCCAGTTCTGTGAAGAAAGTCAATGGTAGCTTGATGGGGATAGCGTTGATTCTGTAAATTACTTTGGGCAGTATAGCCATTTTCACAATATTCATTCTTCCTAACCATGAACATGGAATGTTTCTCCATCTGTTTGTGTCCTCTCTGATTTCGTTGAGCAGTGGTTTGTAGTTCTCCTTAAAGAGGTCCCTTACATTCCTTGTGAGTTGTATTTTAAGGTATTTTATTCTTTTTGTAGCAATTGTGAATGGCAGTTCGTTCTTGATTTGGCTTTCTTTAAGTCTGTTATTGGTGTAGACGAATGCTTGTGATTTTTGCACATTGATTTTATATCCTGAGACTTTGCTGAAGTTGCTTATCAGTTTCAGGAGTTTTTGGGCTGAGGCGATGGGGTCTTCTAGGTATACTATCATGTCGTCTGCAAATAGAGACAATTTGGCTTCCACCTTTCCTATTTGAATACCCTTTATTTCTTTTTCTTGCCTGATTGCTCTGGCTAGAACTTCCAGTACTATATTGAATAGGAGTGGTGAAAGAGGGCATCCTTGTCTAGTGCCAGATTTCAAAGGGAATGCTTCCAGTTTTTGCCCATTCAGTATGATATTGGCTGTTGGTTTGTCATAAATAGCTTTTATTACTTTGAGATACGTTCCATTGATACCGAGTTTTTTGAGGGTTTTTAGCATAAAGGGCTGTTGAATTTTGTCAAATGCCTTCTCTGCGTCAATTGAGATAATCATGTGGTTTTCGTTTTTGGTTCTGTTTATGTGGTGAATTACGTTGATAGACTTGCGTATGTTGAACCAGCCTTGCATCCCCGGGATGAATCCTACTTGATCATGATGAATAAGTTTTTTGATTTGCTGTTCCAATTGGCTTGCCAATATTTTATTGAAGATTTTTGCATCTATGTTCATCATGGATATTGGCCTGAAGTTTTCTTTTCTTGTTGGGTCTCTGCCAGGTTTTGGTATCAGGATGATGTTGGTCTCATAAAATGATTTGGGAAGGATTCCCTCTTTTTGGATTATTTGGAATAGTTTTAGAAGAAATGGTACGAGCTCCTCTTTGTGTGTCTGGTAGAATTCGGCTGTGAACCCGTCTGGACCTGGGCTTTTTTTGTGTGGTAGGCTCTTAATTGCTGCCTCGACTTCTGACCTTGTTATTGATCTATTCATAGTTTCAGCTTCCTCCTGGTTTAGGCTTGGGAGGACACAGGAGTCCAGGAATTTATTCATTTCTTCCAGGTTTACTAGTTTATGTGCATAGAGTTGTCTGTAATATCTCTGATGATGGTTTGAATTTCTGTGGAATCTGTGGTGATTTCCCCTTTATCATTTTTTATTGCATCTATTTGGTTGTTCTCTCTTTTATTTTTAATCAATCTGGCTAGTGGTCTGTCTATTTTGTTGATCTTTTCAAAAAACCAGCTCTTGGATTTATTGATTTTTTGAAGGGTTTTTCGTGTCTCAATCTCCTTCAGTTCAGCTCTTATCTTAGTTATTTCTTGTATTCTGCTGGGTTTTGAGTTTTTTTGATCTTGCTCCTCTAGCTCTTTCAATTTTGACGATAGGGTGTCAATTTTTGATCTCTCCATTCTCCTTATATGGGCACTTATTGCTATATACTTTCCTCTAGAGACTGCTTTAAATGTGTCCCAGAGGTTCTGGCATGTTGTGTCTTCGTTCTCATTGGTTTCGAAGAACTTCTTTATTTCTGCCTTCATTTCGTTGTTTATCCAGTCAACATTCAAGAGCCAGTTGTTGAGTTTCCATGAAGTTGTGCGGTTCTGGGTTGGTTTCTGTATTCTGAGTTCTAACTTGATTGCACTATGGTCTGAGAGGCTGTTTGTTATGATTTCAGTTGTTTTGCATTTGTTGAGCAGTGCTTTACTTCCAATTATGTGGTCAATTTTAGAGTAGGTGTGATGTGGTGCTGAGAAGAATGTGTATTCTGTGGATTTGGGGTGGAGAGTTCTGTAAATGTCTATCAGGTTTGCTTGCTCCAGGTCTGAGTTGAAGCCCTGGATAGCCTTGTTGATTTTCTGTCTGGTTGATCTGTCTAATATTGACAGTGGAGTGTTAAAGTCTCCCACTATTATTGTGTGGGAGTCTAAGTCTCTTTGTAAGTCATTAAGAACTTGCCTTATGTATCTGGGTGCTCCTACATTGGGTCCATATATGTTCAGGATCGTTAGCTCTTGTTGTATCAATCCTTTTACCATTATGTAATGGCCTTCTTTGTCTCTTTTGATCTTTGTTGCTTTAAAGTCTATTTTATCAGAGATGAGAATTGCAACTCCTGCTGTTTTTTGCTCTTCATTTGCTTGGTAAATCTTCCTCCATCCCTTTATTTTGAGCCTTTGTGTATCCTTGCATGTGAGATGGGTTTCCTGGATACAGCACACTGATGGGTTTTGGCTTTTTATCCAATTTGCCAGTCTGTGTCTTTTGATTGGTGCATTTAGTCCATTTACATTTAGGGTTAATATTGTTATGTGTGAATTTGATACTGCCATTTTGATGCTAAGTGGCTGTTTTGCCTGTTAGTTGTTGTAGATTCTTCATTACGTTGATGTTCTTTAGCATTTAGTGTGATTTTGGAATGGCTGGTACTGGTTGTTCGTTTCTATGTGTAGTGCCTCTTTCAGGAGCTCTTGTAAAGCAGGCCTGGTAGAGACAAAATCTCTGAGTACTTGCTTGTTCGCAAAGGATTTTATTTTTCCTTCACTTCTGAAGCTCAGTTTGGCTGGATATGAAATTCTGGGTTGAAAGTTCTTTTCTTTGAGAATGTTGAATATTGGCCCCCACTCTCTTCTGGCTTGTAGTGTTTCTGCCAAGAGATCTGCTGTGAGTCTGATGGGCTTCCCTTTGTGGGTGACCCGACCTTTCTCTCTGGCTGCCCTTAGTATTTTCTCCTTTATTTCAACCTTGTTGAATCTGACAATTATGTGCCTTGGGGTTGCTCTTCTTGCGGAATAT